AGTTTTTTCGTTTGTGCTAGATTTCTTAGTTCAGCAAAACTTTGATAATGCAATTGAGTAAAACAACAAATGCTTTTGAGGTGAAAATAGAAGGAATATTGAAGACAACCTTTGGAGATTACCCTATTAAACCTCAATTATATGCCATCTCATCTAATTGGAGAATGTATGTTATTTTCTTTTTCTTTTTTTAATGTTATCATATTTCTACTAGGAGTGAAATCAATGCAAAATTTACTATGAAAAATGTTTATATGATATAAAATATAGGAGATTATGTTATGACCATACCTCATGTGAAGTAATGTCATTCATGATACGGGCAATTATCGTAGAAGCTCGGACAATCTTTGGGAAACTAGTAATCCACTTAAATACCTCCTCCGTTGCTATTTCTCCCATTCCAACAAAAGAAGCACATTTGAGCATAGGATATGCTGCACTTATCAGGGAAACCTGTAGGTGTTCTTCAACAGTTGGCACGTAACGTTGAGCAGACCATTTGGATTCCTCGAAGTACGCTTTAGATACAGCTTTCATCTGTATAGGTAAAATAAACCCATTCCTTAATGTACCTAATGCATGAGCCATGTATATGTAAGAAATGGAATTTTAACATCTCGCTTCATGATTGTCACATATGGAATGATTATTCTCTGTACAATCATTGTATTCGCTAATTGTAATGCTAATTCATGAAAATTTAAACAAGGTCTTACAGATTCATCACGTACCGCTTCCTTAAGATAGTATAAGCGATACTTCTCATCGAGTGCTAACAAAGTTTCAAACTCTTCAAAGGTGTGAATTAACTTGAGAAAGTAGTCCTTCATATACTCTGGTAGTTGATGAACAGTCTTTGCGTCCCATCTGCATATGAATTAGTCCCATCTTTAGAAAAAAAGTAGTTGATATTACATATATTGTTGTTATTGTTATTACTAGTATTAATATTGTTTTGTTATCCACAATGGTCGAAACTATTTTCATGCTTTTAGTGACACATTATGTTATCGCCTATTGCATGCAAAGTCAGTGAAATATAATCTTTCGGTCGATATAAGATTTCCAAACCTTTGGATTGCCTCGGTGAATTGTCGACTCTCCTCCAGTGTGCTATAGACATCATAGATGTCATCCATAATAGTGATTAGGGCAATGACCTTGGCCGTTATCATTCGTGCACGGGAATAGTGGGGTTCAAAGTATATGCCCAGAGTCCAATAGTAGCACTCCACCAATCGGTCTCGAGAAAAATCGAGACTTTTGAAGGGTGCTATTTCGTTCCACCACCTTCAAGTCATCCACGATCCAGAATAAATAGATGAGAAACATGAAATCATTCAACAATCGATCTACTTAACCATATCCTCTATGGATCTTTCTCTTTGCAGAAATCAAGAAGAAATATGGCTAGTAGTAGTAAAAATTAATGTGAGGGGACCTTACAAAGAGATGTTCTTAAGCTCCTCACGATGAAGAGATTGTAGTATATTGAAGTCCAGCTTTGCAAGCTCCAGTATGACATCATTTCGTGTGGCATCCTCTTGGTATATAAAGATATAATCTCTTGCCAAGAGCCTTCTCATCCTTCTATATAGAGGTGTCTCGAGGTCAAGAGACACTTGCGTTGTTAATGGTGGTTTAAGATCGCCTAACGCAGATAATAGATGGTTCCTGGTAAAAGAGATGGCTTCATCAAGAATTATCTCCCTGTGAGTCCCAAGATGAGCTGCGTTGTACAAGCTTAACAGTCCCTTCACATCACTTTCCAAGGTACACATGAAACTCCCTTTCTCATCTTTGAACTTGTTAAAAACATCTACAGAAACACAAGATTCTTGTTTTATAGAAAAAAATAAAGCCATATTATCAAAAATAATTTGCTGAGATTAAGTAATTACGTGATGATCAATATAATTACTTTTGTGTGTGATTTTTATGTTTATTGTACCCAAGAAAATGTCACAATAACATGCCCTTATTATATAGTTTGTAAAAAGAGCAAGATAAAGAAGGGCAT